TACATACATACATACATACATACATACATACATACATACATACATACATACATACATACATACATACATACATACATACATTATAGACGCACCTTATATGGAAAGGTTAGCTACAGTAAATATAATCGTTTACTTGATGACACACGGTGTGTGTGTGTGTGTGTGTGTGTGTGTGTGTGTGTGTGAATGTTGCACTTACTACGAACCTGGCCATCTATGAAGTTTATCGACTTCGTTGAAAATTGGGTAAACATGCCAGATCCACTCAAATAAGTTCATAGTTTTAGATATACCAAAACACACCCGTTACATCTATTGTGGTAAACCTTGGACCCGAAAGTACTCTTTTTAATTGTTATTTCAATCAATCAATGAGCAAATCCATCAGATGTTTGTGTGTGGGTGCGGTTCGAGTCACCCCATCGGACACCGTATTTGATATATCTCAAAGAATGTTAAGAGAATAGTCCATGAATTACACATTCGTAATTTTTTTCTGGTATTGAAAACAGATGCCATCACTGGAAGCGGACAAACAAAATAAGTTTTGCAACTCTCAATTTCAGCCGAGTGAGTGAAGGCTGCATCTTTTCACCACCTTCAATGAGGTTCGGAGTAGAAACTTGTACTTGCAACGCAAAGTGGTAAAAGGTGAAGAAATTTGATTTAATAAAAGCAAACGATGTTACCGTCACAGATGATTGACACTAGAACCTCGAACGAGATATTTATCTCGTTCCTGGAAAAATCGGATGGGCTATGCCAAGCACAACGTCCTGTTCTCATCATCCCTCAAGGCTTTGATTTTAGACCGAGTAACTAAGCGGTAAGAATTTCAACGCTCTGCTCGGCAGGAACACAAAGTGTACTTACTACTGATTGATCCCAAAAAGGACGAAAAAACTGCTCTTTGTCGGTCCTTGAGAACCATTCTATCACAGTTACGATACTTGTAACCATTTTATGTGCTTTGGCTATAAATGAAAACAGGGATTACAAAGATGACTCGTTCCCTTAAAACTTAAGCATACGACTAGAAAAATATCGTATGTTAATTGCAGTGAGATATGCATCCGTTTCGATAATTTCAAGCAACAGAACTCACAAGCTTTTACGCGGTATGATTAGCATTTCTTACTAGAACGACAGTTGTTTGGGCTACATTGATTTCGATATCCGATGAAAACAGAAAATCTTGTTCAACTCACAATTACTTGCGAGGAGTGGAATAGGATTGGTGATTGTGATTTAAACTGGCCATCTTTCAGTCTTCATCTTAAAACACAATCCTCAATTCATTCGCTCAGCCATAAACTCGGAAGGTACTAGGCATAAACTTGAGTCTGTAATAATCATATTAGTCGTAATATGCATGGAACACGGAACACAAACCACGCAACAGGAATCACGGGACACGAATCAAGGATCAGCTATCACGGACTGGATTACGGAAGCACTAGACCGCAATGGCACGAGCTCGCAGTATCACACGTGACAGAGACGCGAGGAAAAGGCCGCAAGAATAGTAGTTCGTAGTTTGTTTATTGGATTAAATGAAGGTGATTAAATAATATGTACAAAAGAAGGTCATTGGTTATCTAGGCTTCCACCAATCGTATTGCACTATTGCTTGCATAATTCTGCTTCTGTTTGCACTGTCTCGGATTGGCTGGCACGATCCGCCAATGGTGTGTAGTCAAGAGCCGTGATGCGTACACGCGTCATTGACATCACCTTTCAAATTCGATTGATCGCAGGTGTTCAGAAACTGTAACGCACCGCTCCAGAGTAGGCATCATCACGTAGGTCTGGATCAGTCTCGCTTTACTTAGAGCGCATCAGAAGTACATATCCACCGTCACCGGGATTTTTACTACGTTATCCATCATATGGAAGGCGCGTCTGTTACCGTCGTACACTCAAGTGTATGGTTGACTGAATTGCCTAGGGATAGGGTGCGTGAAGATAGAATCTGAATGATGGGCAGTTCATTTCATTGAAAACAGAAATATTAAGATCAGATCCCATCGGTAGAACATGTTCATTGTGAACTTGTTACATGGTTTGGTCTGCCAAGGAATCTGTCCGTTTACAAATTATTTGTGTTCAGAGCATCCGGCAGTACATGCTAATAAACAAGTAGACTAAGGATAAATGAAAGAGTTATTATAATCAATGCTAGTCTACCTAACTTTTTAGAGGATTTGCTCTTTCTTTGAAGCTGAACTCTCAGACGTTTTTGAAATAAGTTTGTCGTAGTTGCAAAGGGTATGAAGGAAGACATGCAGCCGTGGTATGCGACAATGTATCTGAGTTGTTAACTGCTGTTCGTCCATGTGACTCAGTTTATACATCAAGCGCAGTCACTGTACACGAGACACACTTAACCATTTCACTGCCACGTGTTTACTATGAACTGAAAAATGTTATCTCAAATTGGAACTGTTTCAGAAAAAGTTGTTTAAACTCAAAAACCAAAGTTTGTATATGATTATGCAATTATCATACGATGTGCGGAATATTTAGTTGACTCTCTGTCTAAGCGATTTCAACTACAATTATTCTCATAGATATTTCTTATTCCGTTCTCGATATATGGTCAAAATGATCACTTTGATTGGTTGCAACTTGAAAAGTGGAAATTGTGTTAATATTTATGTAGTGATAGCAAAGTAATGGACCATAATCTGTTATCAGCCCACTAACTGGATGTGAATATGCTTCAAAATCCCGCAGATATATATGGTTTTAGTTGGAGCTTGGGTTGAACTTTATGCTTCTATAAAAACTCCATCAGGTGATCAGCAACAACTTGTCCCCCTACTTATGGCAGAACGGCAGTTTGTGGGATCACGTTGGAAGCTACCTATGTAAATGGGTGACATCACACCAAGTCTCCAAAAATGAAGAATCATCGTCTCGTGAGGCATCTGTTTGCATATATTAGCTATTATTTCCTGTATCGTATTTGTCAACGATTTCGTAGATGGATGTTGTTTTCACTCGGGTATAAATCCATACACAACGGTAAAAATTTGGCGTTTTATAGGAAAGTTGACGGCGATTTGGAACTCAATGTAGTAGATGTGCTAGCTACAGTCCGAATTTAATACCTGCAGCAAACACTACATAAACCTGAAGAAGTATTAGTGGAAACTGGTCCCACCACTCTCGGACCTCGTATCCCACATTACACTTTCCATTTGGCATTCGCATATTCATATA